CGGATGAATGGATAAGCAAACTGTGGGCTTCATACCGTGGACACCATCTGCCGCCTTCAGTCCGCCTGCCACGCAGTCACCTGTGCGGACTTTCTGACATTTACTGCAGCTCCAGCCTACGTCCCCCGCAGACGCACCTCCCCTGCCCATCTGCACGTCTGGCACCTGCTCTGCCTTCCACCTAGGCTGCCATTCCTCTCTCACTCCTAAAAGCACCGCTGATCCAGACAGCGTCCCAGGGGCTCCCCATCACCCTCCCCAAGAGGGTAAGAGGCCCTGGCACCCCCAGCTTCCTCTGCACATAATCGTGGCTCCCTCTGCAGGGCAAGGCCTTGGGGGAAGGCCGGCTTGCATCTCTGCTCCTACCACCTGGGACTCCCACCTGCGGCAGCCCCTGACACACAGGTTGAAGAAGTGATGGGGAAGGGAGGGGTGCCAGGGATCACACGCCATCACTGCTGGGGGTTTTTTTTTTGGTTTATTTATTTTTTATTTTTATTGGGGAATTGGGAGAAGGGGAACAGACAAGTTGCTGTTGTTTTGTTCTTCAGTCTAGTTGTGGAGGACGTTGCTTCACTGGCCCAAGTTGGCACCATCATTGCGCTCTTCCCAAGCGAGGCAGATCAGTCGCCGGCTTCTGGACGGCCGCTCACAGTGGCTGCTGGCTGCTCACACTGGCTGCCGGCTACACACGGTAGCACATGGCAACCCACTGCAGCAGGGGCTGCAGCCTACGCCATCGCCGGCGACTCACAGCAGCCCAGCTCCAGGTTGAGCTGTTGTTCAGCATCTTAGCTGTGGAGGGCAGTGTCACTGACCCTCATGTGGGATCCTAACCGGGGCCCTCTGGTGTCCCAAGCCAGCTCTTAACCAACGTGCCACTCGGCCGGCCCTATCACTCTGTTTTCTTGCTTTGTAAGCTCTGCCCGCCTCAGGCCCACGGAGGGGCCGGTGTCTCCTGGGCAGTATGGCCCTTCCCCATGTGCCTTAAAAGAAATTTAGTAGCTTCAGACGCCTCGTGTGCTCTCAAAACTTAAAAGCCAATATTGAATAATGAGTGCTAAGAGCCGGAGGTGGTGGCTTGGACAACCACAGCCCAACTTCAAAGACCTCCAGGCAGCGCTCTTTTGAAGAACTTAAAATGAACAGTGATGTTAAGGGCAGATTCACGGGCGTGTACAAGCGTGTGTTGGGCACTTAGCACCTGCCAGGGGCCGAGGGGTCAGAGGGCAAACTCCTGCCAGTGACGGGCTGAGGCTGGCCTAGCGAAGGGAGCCAGCCTTCGCTCTTTCCATGTGTGCCCACTGCCGGCCCCGGTGCCCCGGGGATCCTTCTAGGAACCTGGGACACACCAGCTGTCTTTGCTCGGGTGGCATGCATGGAGGAAGTCAGACAATTTAAACTACGGTTAGTGAAACCATGCAGCACAAGTTCAGGTGGTAATTAGCGATGGGAGAGTGCGCAGAGCCCAGGGGACATGGCAGGCCTCTTGGAGGAAAGGGTCGTGGGGCTGGAAGGAGGTCAGGCAGGTAAGCAGGGTTCCAGATGAGAGGGACCCTCAAAGGCAGAGCGACCGCAGCGAGCTGAAGGAGAGGAAGCAGGGAGCACCAGGCCGGCCCTGCACACTTAGCAGCAAAGGGGCCTGTTGCACAAAGATGCACACGCAGTGCCTCACTGCAGGCTCCTCCCTCTGGGCCCAGCAGGTCCTCGCGGTGTTGGTCACCTGCGTGCTGGCAGCACACACACTCGCTCGTTCTTAGTCACAGGAATATTGTTCTTGTAGCCTTCAGGTGGACGGAGTGACGTGCCACCTGGAAAGGGAGGCGGGAGCCGAGGTGCCCAGGACCGTTGTGGGAATGACATACAGGTCTCTGGTGCCTCCCGCCTCCCCAAGAGGCCAGGCGCTCAGCGTCTGACAGCCACAGCAACTCAATTAATCCATAATTTAGCTACATATTAATCACGCCACCGAAGCCAAGTGCACTCGAGTCTGTCCATTCGTGTGACTGACCACAAGGGTGGAGGTAATGAGCAAGGCGGCACCCCGGGGCGGACTGAAAGGATGTAGGTGGGCTGTCACAGGGTGGGGACACCTTAGGGGAAAGGACAGCAGTGGAGGGAGAAGAGAGTGAGGGCTTCCAGACAGCAGGCAGCTTAGCGGGCTCCCCAGAGCCTGTTTCCCTCCCTTCTGTGCCTCGTGGCCTCAGGCAGAGCAGGGAGTAGGCCCAGAGCCGTGCAGGCGCGAATCCTGTGCTCGAATCCAACAGGGTCGCCATGCTACAGCTCCAAAGGCCTCCCCGGCTCCCACCGCCCTCCCTGCGTGCCCCCGTCACTTGTGGCTGCGCTCCCTGTCGCTTGCAGGGTGGGGACAGCAGAAGGACCATTTCCTCACTCAGGGTCAGCCAAGTCTCATGACAAAAGGTGGTGTGATTCAGTCAGCTTTCCAGAATGACACAACCTTCCAGAGGCGGTGTTCCCGTTTTGCACCGGGTCGGAGCCAAGTTTCCAAAAAACACTGTTTCCACACTTGGCTCTCAGGAGTGGGGGAGCATTACACAACCGCAGCGGATAGGGACAGGCCTGGTCCTCAGGCAGGCAAAGGGGCAGTGCGGGAAAACGGGCACATTTAAAATTATGTGCCCTTTGTAGTCCCATGAGGACAGACACCCCAGCTCAGAAGGTGGCTGCCTCCACCTCTTGTTTCAAGAGCAGAGTGGGGAGGATAAGGGCCTTTGCAGAGGGAGGCTGCGTCTCTGGGCGAGCTCTGCCAGTCGCCTCTGTTTAACAGGAAGGCTGGCCCTTGGAAATCCTGGAAGGCCAGCTCACACAGAAGTCTTCCCGAGGAGACCCTGAAAGGTGGGGCGAATTCCCTCAAGCGACAAACTGTTAACATGGTTGAGGAAGACAGCATTTCGCAATGCACGCTTGCAACACCAACCCTGTAGAGGAAAGCGGCTGGTGTGCTTGGGTCCCCAACCTTTCCCCTGAATGTCACCCATCAATCTGCAGGGGCCTAGGAGGAGTTGATGGTATTGGCGAGGAGCAGGCATTAACAAAGCTGTCACAGCACACCCAGCAGCAGTCGCGGAGTTAATTCCCTTCATTAATAATATCCTAATTTGCATGATTAATATGTCATAGTCGATAAACACAAGCGGCTACGAATAAAAAAAAATCACTGAACAAAAATGCCACCTGCTGAACAAAAAGAATAAGACAAATAAATGACGACACGGCTAAATGAGCAGGAGACGCTGTATTCCCCCTAAAACAATGTGCGAAATGCTTGAAAATGCCATTATTGGGACAAAGAGTTGAGGAACTCAGAGACAAGCATTCCAGATGTTTCCAGGCATTGACAACTGGCTGGCCACCTTCGGACAATTCCAAAACTCCCAGACCAGGAGGAATCCTGTCTGCTCCCTGGGCTCCTTGCCCTGCTTTCCTGAGCCAACCCCAGGCCACGGGGCGGAACACTCCAGGCCACAGTGGTGCCACCCTCAGCCCAGATCTACGTCTTCCTCCCTCTGCAAGCCTCAGCGATTTCTGGCCAGAGCTGGAGACGGGACTGCGGCCAAGGGCACTGTGCCTGCAGAGAGCAGAGGGAAGGAAACTGGGGATACCCTGGAAGGGCCCCGATAGGTTGTCCAGAGCCTTCAGAGACAAAGGCCTTATGCCGGACGCAGTGCTGGGCGCTGGGGAGAAATTCATACGTGGGTCCCGGGTGCAGACAACGGCTGACAGCCTGGAAAGCAAAGCAGTGAAGGGCGACCTGCCCAGCAGAACCATCTGCCAGGACGGGAATGTCCTAGGTCCGCCACATCCAGGGCAGCAGCCACAGACCGGCCACATGGACAGAGCCCCTGAAATGTGGCTAGGGTGGCTCACGGCTGGATGGTCTAGTTCCTGCCATTTTGATTAGTGTACCTGGAAAGAAACAAGCACTGAGGAGCCCAAATGGAAATGGGGTTATCTGGAGGTCAGGTTCGACCACCTACTGGTGACGACCTAGAAGCTTAGATGTTGTGTTGTTGTTGAAAGACCAGCGATCAAATATATGGTGATGGAAGAACTGACTCTGGGTGGTGAACACACAGTGTCATATATAGATGATGTATTACAGAATTGTACACCTGAAACCTTGTAACTTTACTAACATTGTCACCCCAATAAACTTTAATTAAAAAATAAAAAAAGACCAGCTACCAACGCAAGCAAGAACCGTGTCCCTAGGCGCGGCTTGTTGTGGGTCTGACATCACATTTCATGGGACTTTCCCTTCACCCATCGTTTCGAGTTGTCCCTGGGCCACATACTAAGTTGTTCCGTGCCTTCTCAGATGCTACCTTTTCCCACTGATAGAACATAAAAGGATTAAAGGAAAAAATAAAGATGGCAGGCCCTGAGAGCGTTAAAAAAAATTAATTGCTCGGTTTTGACCTAAGCGACAAAAAAGTCCCAAACTTCCTCAAGGTCAGGATTGTAAGTGTAAAAAGGAAACCGGGAGAAGTTAGGGAACCCTTGCTTTAAACTGTCACCCTCAGCCATTGCGCCGGTGGCTTCTGCCGACCAGGTTAAGCCAAGTCGAGGGACTCCCAAGCTTTTAGATTCATAAAAGTACCAGAAAATGATTAACCAAAATAATCAGATGTGTTTGGGAAGGTCAAGTTACCAGGAAAAGTCCTTGAGGAAAAAGCTAGGACCCTGGGATTAATCTGAGCGCAATCTGAACGATCTCATATACGGCCTCTGTTTTCATTGGCACCGGAGACAAAAAACAGGAAGCCTACGGTGGCAACAAGTAAAACCTAGTACATCCAGGCTACCCCTTGAAGACTTAAAGCCCTCTCTGAAACTTTGCAGGAAGCAGGCATAAGCCGATTTGAGCAGAGTAGACAAGGGTAAGCTTAGAAGAGGAAAAGTACTGTAATTGTGTAATAGTTCTCCTGGAGAACAGACAAACCATGAGGCAAGGAGCCACACCACTGACCTGAACGGAAGCCAGGGGAGCTGCCAGGAGGGGCAGGCACTGGAAAATAATCTGGCCGTGGGGCTGCGGAAAGGCTGGAGAACAATGCAGCTACCCAGCGACTGCGTGGTCACGGAATTATCCGGCTGTGCTGTTCCAGAAGACCTCCACGGCCTTCCCCAACGGTTCCTAGCAGCGGTCCACCCCGACCGCACAGACGCGGCCCAGCAGGGTCCAGCTCGCCTGGCCCGACACCTGGCTCCCAGCATCCGCCCTTCTGCAGTGTCCTCTCTCTGCCCGAGGACTCATGGCCATTGTACGTGTTGGTGGCTGACCCCTTTCTTCCCACCCTCCACACAGACGAGTCCACGCTTAACAGCAAGCGCTTCCCACTTTGGTTTTCTCTCCTCTCTTTTAAGTGAAAACAGGCGTTTCAGTTTGTGACTGGCAAGACAGGGTGGAGACGACAGAAGTTGGTGCCGTGCCAACAACCATGTTCCTAAACCGTCACAGCTTTGGGAGAGCCATCGACATTTTGTTTTTTTCAATTAAGGTTAAGAAGCGAGTACACTGCTTTAAAACGTCAATAACATGTGTTGCAACTCATTCACGGGTATCGAACGTGACACCCCAGCAGCAGTCCCCACACACACACTCATCCCAAGACTCTGAAAGCCCTTCTCCGCCCAGAACACCTCACCCACGCCAAAGACCTGTGCACCCCGACGGCACTGAATTTTGAGGTGTCTATGAACACACCACGGGGTCCTGAGCCCTGGGCCTGAAGACCCTGAGGAAAGGGAAGGAGGGGAACACACCCCACCTCCTGGGGTCCAGCTGGTCCCACCCAACATTGTTTCAGAGCCATGCAAGCTCCAAGCTCCGAGGTGCAGCGGCCATCACCCCATCGGCATGTGAGCACGTCTTTGTCCAGGGATTGTGGGAACCACAGATGGCTAAGACACGAGCCCTGCTGTCAGAGGCTTCTCGTTCACCAGGGAAGCACCCACATACTACTAGTGCTGGTGAAAAACCAGGTAAGAACCAAAGAAGTGTGGCAAGATGTCACAGGGCGGGGAAAGCCATCTCCTCTGAGCTAAGCCTTGAGTCATGGCGCAAGTCTCCCAGCCTCAGTTCTGGAAACACGACTTGAATCAATATAAATTAACACTCCACCGTAATACCTAATACCATGTGACAATTACTGGTTTTCAGGTGCGGTTCCATTCAGACCGTTCGCTGAGCAGGAGCTGTGATATATCTGCGCCCTGAACACCGGACATGGAGTCTAGCCTGAGGAGGCGCCCAGAATTTGTGACTTGTTATCTGATTACATCAACATATAAACACGCTGTGGGATTCAAGGACTCCCTGACTTCCTAACTCACAAGAAAATACATTACAGATACAGATTTTTTTATCATCTCCCAGCTTGTTTACCAAGGTCAGCGGGAAAGAGACCCAGGAAAAAGGTGAGGCCGAAGGAAGACTGCATAATTCTATTTTCCGGGTGAATATTTTTAGTCAAGACTTTATGCTTAGCAAAGTAGTGCTCAAATTCACCCAGTGCTTGGAAGACATGGAAAAGAAAATGCAAAAGGTTCTGATGACGCTTCTCCTAAAGCCTTGATATTCCGAGTGCGGTCGGGGACCAGTGGCCAGCACCCCTGGGAGCCTGGGGGCCTGGAAGCCTGCGGACTCTGAGCCCACCCAGACCTGAAGGCTGACAGGTGATGTGAAGGAACGCTGAAGTTTGGATAGCTCTGCTTTAAAAAGCCTCCACTTACAGGTTTGCCACTTTATCTTTACAAAAGAAGAAAGAAGCCGTGGGGAACGCAGACATTTGCGTCCACCCCCAAATGTCACACCCGTGGTCATTTAGAAGGCCGATGGTGCAGACCACCTTCCAGCAGCGGCTGGAATCATCAGGAAGAGGACTCAGTGGCCAAGGTCCTGGAAGGCACCTTTAACCTGATATCAAGGCTCTCCCAGCTCGGAAAGACACATCACAGGGTCAATCGATAACGTGCAACCCAACAAACCCTCTGATGCAACAGCCACAGGTCATGACCAGAGAGGGCGGGAAAGGTCATATCTGCTGGACAGGCACAGGTGCCACCCTCCAGCTTCTCTCAGGAGCATCAGTGCCTCCAAAGCAGTCACATTGATGGAGTCCATCTACACGGTAGCGTTAGAGGAAGCTTTTATTTCTACAGCTAAGTTTTACTTTGAGAGAAGACGGAGTGGGCGGGAGCTGCAGTGGGCGGGGGAGAAGGCAAGAGGATAAGAGGGTAACGAGCTTTCCCCAGGGCCCCTCAGCCTCCCCACATTCTTCGAGCCTCCTCCCTGGGTGCAGGACCGGTCTGAAGCAGAGGTGAGCTCTGAGGCTGCCAGGTGAACTCGCTGGCCCCAAGTGCACCCAGGTGAGTGCGGGAGCGGGTATCTGTACCTGTATCTGCTTAATGGGGTGACAACAGTTCCATGCAAGGGCTGGGGAGTGCGGGATGCAGCCAGAGAATCCGCTACTTCAGACGTCGAGTATGTTTACTGCTCAAGCACAAGATCAAAAAATATTTCTAACTTTACTTAAATGTTTTAATAATTTAAATATATAAATATATCCATATCTAGGTGGCTGGATCACTAGATATAGTCTTCTATCTTCTTTCCAAGAGTTTACGCAAAAATGCTTAAAACCCACAAAGCCAAGAACGGGAGGAGTCAGAGGAGCAGGTTCTCGGAGCTGGGAACAGTCCCCAGCGTCGCCTGATGACTTCTGGGTTGTCTCCTGATGTTTGCCGGCGTTTATGCCTTATTCCAGGTCACATGATGAGCGACTGAGGTAGAACCAGCACGCAGAGCCTCTGATTCACAGGCTGAACTGCCCGACACCGCACTGCTTTCAAAATTAGACGCACACACGCTTCCTGAGTGACGGACACATAGCATGTTCTAGTAAGTAATATGCCTCTGGGACATGGTCAAGAGCGGAACTGAGCAAGACATCAGTCTTGCTCCTCCTAGGTTTCTGCTCTATGAAAAGGGGAAAATGAGAGGGGTTCTAAATTAAACATATTATCCTATTTCCTCGGCAGGAATCTCATGTCTGAAACGTATTAATAATAACGTTTACAGCTTTTCGAGAAAATGCTATGAAAATAGGAATATTTTTAAAAACTAACAAAGAAGCTATAAGACAATATCCGCTACCCAAAGGAGCATGGAGAGCTTAGGAGCAGAGGATTACCGAATAATTATGCAAAGTGCCCCACGCGAGAACACACCCGAGTGGATGTCTCAGGCAGCAGTTCTCACAGCGTGACCCCAGGCGAGCACGTCAGCACCTTCTGGAACTTTTCAGAAATGATGGGATAGACAAGGGGTGGGGCGCAGCCACCTGCTTGGTCACAAGCCCCCCCACCCCCGCCTCCAGCCCAGGGTTTTCTGATGCAGGCTCAAGTTTGAGAACCTGTGGCCTGACACAATGAGGTTCCCAGGTCCTGTGTGTGGTGGGCCTAAGATAAGCGCTGCTCCTGCAGGAACCTAGCCACACAGCCATGGTTTAATGATACCGTCTTCACTGTCATTTACCATCAACCATTTCACCCCCACGAACACCACAAGCTTCTCCTAGGTTAACAGCATTCTTCCTCAGGTCGACGATTGAAGCGTGAGTAACAAAATCAAGCTGAGATAATTTTCCATAAACGTGATCTATTGCCATCGGTATTATGTACTGAAAAAAAAAATGACACATGTGACAGTTATGAAAGGTTGCCTCGCTCTACACCAAGAGTTGAAAATTAAGGCTAAAATGAAAAACAAAAAACACTTGGAAAATTCTCAGTGTTCCCAAGTAAACGGGGAGTGGGTTCCTGTAGCCGGCTTGCAGTGCAGCCCTGGGTCTGCAGGAGATACCACCTGGGGGCCTGTGAGGAATGCAGAGTCCAGGGCCCCCGCCCAGGCCAGGCACCAGGCTGCGTGTTAACAGAATGCCCGGGAATTGTGCTCACACTGAAGCCTGAGAAGCGGTGCATTCGACGGGACCTGAAAAATACTGGGTGAAGGTGGGTTTCCTCCTCTTTTGCCTTTTTTATGCAAGGGAGAGCCAACTGCTGTCAAGCAAGACAGAGCAACTATTCAGCGTTTTCTGTGAGTATGGCATTGGAGAAGGCATTCTTTCGGAAACGGGAATTTATTTCTTCCTTCCTAAATAGACTGATTTAAATTAACCTCCCTGGCGGTCTGATTATGTCAGTAATTTTGTACCCAAAGCGGTACATTGTTTTGCGTGGAAATTTGTTTTTTTATATTGTAGGCCTGTAATTCTTAGGAATTACTCACTTAAGTTGATTTTTTAGCTTTTATTTCACAGACTGACATTTTCAGGGCCATCTGGAGCAGGTAACATCTATGCAGTAGAGAAAGTTCACTATTACTAGCTCTTTACTAGCATGTGTCTCCAAATAAGTAGTCTAAATTCTGCAAGCCGCTCAGCTATATTTATAAGATGATGCATACCTTATAGCCCACTTAAATCTGTCCAAACAAGAGTCTAGTAGGCATCCCAGGTATGATAAAGTTTGAAACACAAAATCATAAATTATAATATAATAAATAATTATTAAAAATAATATAATTTTATTCAATTATGTAATCAAATAAAAAACACTGCAATTTGTCATCGGCTGGCGTTCTCGTCAGCGATCACAGGAGGACACCACAGGATCGCAGGGAGCAGGTAAGGGACTTCTCTGGGACACTGCAGTGTAATCCCGAGTGTGGCTCGGGGTTACCGCTTCTGGCAGTGAAAATTAACCCTGAGCCACACTCGGGATTACCGCCAGGGCGGTTAAAATAACAACTGGTCACACATGGGATGGAGATGTTGAAAAGTGTCTTCAAGAAATAAGGCTTCAGGGGCGGGCCGAGTGGCGCATTGGTTAAGAACTGGCTTGGGACACCAGAGGGCCCCGGTTCGGATCCCACATATGAGGGCCAGTGACACTGCCCTCCACAGCTAAGATGCTGAACGACAGCTCAACCTGGAGCTGGGCTGCCCTGAGTCGCCGGCGACTGCGTAGGCTGCAGCCCCTGTGGCAGTGGGTTGCCATGGGCTACCGTGTGTGGCCAGCAGCCAGCGTGAGCGGCCAGCAGCCGCCATGAGCGGCCGTCCAGAAGCCGGCGACTGATCTGCCTCGCCCGGGAAGAGCGCAATGATGGTGCCAACTTGGGCCAGTGAAGCAACGTCCTCCACAACTAGACTGAAGAACAAAACAACAGCAACTTGTCTGTTCCCCTTTCCTGTTCCCCTTTCCCCAATTCCCCAGCACTGTTCCCATCCCCCAATTCCCCAATAAAAAAATCTTAAAAAAAAAAAAGAAAGAAAGGCTTCACCCAATTCCTTTAAGTTAAAGGAAATTTGAACGAGCGGAAAGGGGGATTTTCAAGCAAGTAAGAGAGGCTACTAGGAAAATGTCGCCTCTCAGGAGAGGCAGGACGGAGTCGCCCACAGGCCTCTGCGCACAGAATGGGGTGGGGCGGGTGGAGCAAACTGAGGTGGCCCTCATGTGTCCCGTGACCTCGATTTGATCAAGTCAAGGGTGAGACCATCTTCCCCGGAAATGGGAAGCCACCACTGTGGTGAGTTCAGCAGACCCCACGAGGGCGTGCCACCCAGCAGCGGGGGGCTGGGCTGGCGGGAGAGCAGGAACCTGGGGAGACCCTTGGCGTAGGAGGGTGCTCCCCCCCGGATGCTCTGATACCCGGACACAAGAGCTGAGAAAGCTGGCAGCTCTGCAAAGACACAAATCCGAGGTTCTTGTTGAAAGGACTCCGAGCGGTTCTGCTGGGCAGCCCGGCCTTCTCTGCTGGAATGGCTGTGCCTCACTTCATAGTAAGCACATCTGTAACAATCTCTTCAGGGAGAAAGATGCCCTCGCCCATCTGTTACATTATTAATAGCTTCCTAGGGGCTGGCCTATTACTCCGACAGCACAAGCCGTATCCTTAGCACCATGCTGGAGAATCAAAGGCCTGTGTACCCTTGTTTAAAAATAAAATGTATCGACTGCAAGAACAGGAAATCATTCTCAGCCTCATAAATAATGTTCCTTCCGTGTCAAATGCTTTTCTCACAGCACATACTTCAGAACCCGTTTGCATCAACCACACCACTTTCAGCGATAAGTTTCCCAAACGCTCATTGATGGGGAAGCAGCCGCTCTAGCCTGTGCCCCACCCATGCAGTTATCACAGGTCCCGTAAGACCCACCAGCCCCGGCTACGGCTTTCAGGACACCAGCTACAAAGTTCTGTGGCCAACTGAAGGTGACAGGACAGGAGGTCCCAGTGCAAGGCAAAAGGCAGAACCCCAAGAAGGGCTTTGTGCTTCCTCTTCCTGAGAACACATGTGGCTGTGCAAATTGTAAAAACTACAGCGTGGTATGGGTTCATGTCTGTGGAGATGAAACACTCACGACAACTGTAGCATAAGTATGTGAAATGATACAACATTAACTCCAAATAAACAGTGACAAGTGAAGGGCGTATATTGCAATTCCTAGAGCAACCACTAAAAAAAAGGTCCAAAAGCTATGGCATCCAAAGACAATAGATGAATTAAAATGGAATTTTAAAAAGCAACCAACTCTAACGACGGGAAAGGAAGAAAAGAGAAAAAAGGAAGACAAACAGAAGACAAATAGCAACATCATATCAATAATTACAATAACTGTAGAGGGTTAAAGTTTCCAGAGAAAAGACTGAGATATTCAAAGTGCATTTTAAAAATGAGACCTAGGGGGCCGGCCGTGTGGCTCAGTTGGTTAAGAGATGGCTTAGAGAGCAAGCTCTGAGCAACAGGGCCGCCGCTGGTTTGATTCCCACATGGGCCAGCGATGCTGCACCTGAACTGAATTGTCGCTGAGCTGCCAACAGGTGGCAGGATGGCTCAGCTGGTGTAACAACAAGATTGCCTGTTCGATAGTGGGCTATGCCCACCCTCAACTAAGACTGAACTCGGCACCTTGAGCTGAGCTGCCGCCTGGATGGCTCAGTGGATAGAGAGTGCACTCTTAACAACAAGGCTGCTGGTTCGACTCCTGCATGGGATGGTGGCTATGCCGACCCACAACTAAGATTGAACACAGCACCTTGAGTTTAGAGGTCACAAGCTGCTGCCAGGCTGCCAGTTGGCGACTGGCGAACTCCATAAGGAAGATTGAAGAACAACAACTTGGCTGGTCCCCTTCCCCAATTCCCCAATACTGTTCCCCTCCTCCAATTCTGCAATAAAAAAAAAAAATGAGACCTAGTGGTGTGCTGTCTACGAGAAACGCACTGAAAATATAAATACAGACCTGTTCTGCCACTCATGTGCAATAGCTTTGAGAAAATGTTTTCATTCAGGACTCAATGTCTTCACTTCCCAGATAACAGATTAAATAACAGAGGCGATATTGGTCGTTTATATTTTGGACAATAACCAAAGACAACAGGGCTGTGAGGCGCCCTCGCAGCCTGTCTACCCCCAGTTCCTCCTCCCCATTCCACATCCTCCCTCCGGGCTGGTGGTCCTCTGGGATCCCATTCCTGATGCCCAGCTGGCTGGCAGCCTCGCCCTCTCCCCCACACCCTCCCGCGCTGCCCAGCCTTGGTGAAACCTGGCTCTCCCGTGGACACCTGGCTGTAGCTGTCCGCCGTGGGAATGCCCCACTCTCCCACAGGCCTCTGTGAGAGTCTCCTGGGGCTGCTGGAACAAAGCACCACACACGGGCGGCTTAAGACAATAGACATTTATTGTCTCACAGCTCTGGAGAACAGAAGTCTGCAATCAAGGTGTTATCGGGGTTCACACCCCCACTGGAGGCTCTGGGGGAAGATCCTTCCTGCCTCTCCCAGCTGCTGGTGGCTTCCAGCCATCCGTGGCACCCCTAGGCTGGCAGCTACATCCCTCCAATCTGTCTCCATCGTCACATGGCCTCTCCTGTGTCCCTCTCGCAGTGTCTCTTTTCCTCTCATAAGGACACCAGTCATGCTGGATTGAGTACTATCCCGCTCCAGGGAGACCCCCTCTTAACTATTCACATCTCCAACCACCCTATTTCCACATAAGGTTGTATTCTGAGGTTCCAGAAACACATGAATTTGGGGGACACTATCCAGCCCAGGGCACTGTTTGCACAGCCATCTACCATCCTCCCAGTCCTGTCTTCATCCCCTGGGGACTCAGGCACCTGGCACCCAGTCCACCGCCACACCCCAAACCTGCCGTCAGCCCGAGCAGTCTGCTCCAACCCAAGCACGACCCATCCAAGGGCCGGCCTCTGCATCCTCTGACCTCCACGGCCCTGCTGACGCTCCGTGCCATCCAGCCACCCAATCCTGGGGCGACTCCGAGGACTTTGTCATCGGCAGCTGCTGCCCCTCTGAAGCCATGTACTCACAAAACCTCCCTCCCGGGTGACTGCAGTCTCCTCTCCTCCAGGTGACGCATCCGGTGACAAATGTGTAGGCGCCTGGGTTACATCAGTGGACACAGCAAGGCAGCTGCCGTGGCAGACCTGCCGTCCGGAGTTGGCACCGTGCTCTCGGTACCTCCAGGAGAGGCTGGCAGTCCTCCCCCGTTACACCCTCCTGCCTCCACTGCCTTCTCACCCGCCAGAGGCCATGTCCCCATCCACCACTAGTCAATATGCCAACCTGCCTTGCCCCGTTGTCCGTCCTTTGCTCCACCTGGAATATACCCAGTCAGGGGTGCCCCAAATGGCGAGCCTTCTCCACCCAGAGTGCAGCACAAAGCGGGGGCCCCCGCCCTGCAGGCCCTGTGGAATCGCGTCACAAACCCCAACCAACCCTCAGCACTGACACATTGCTGTCACTCTTAGCTGTAGTGCTGCCTCCTTCTTCAGCAAAAACTGAACCCCCGCCCCCCCCCCAGGGCAACAGCCTCAAGCCCACCTGCCATCCCCGCCCACCTGCTGCCCCCAGTCCTTTCTTAGGCCCTCCTGGTAATCACAGTAAACCCCTGCGCGCCTGGTGTCCCAGATACACACCAGCCTGAACTGCCCATTTTCTCCCTCTTTTTTCTCTCTCTTTCTACTGGAATCTTCCATCAGCACTTAAATTTGTCCATCTCTCCCATTTTAAGAACACCCTCCATCTCCACTGCATGTTCTCCCCCAGTTTCCAATACTCCCCACCTCCCGGTCTCCATGTCGCCTTTGTTGCAGCAGCCTGGCAGCTCCAGCCCTCCCCAGCGTCCCATGCATGGGCCACATCACCTGCACCTTCATCAGTCTCGTTTGCTGCTGCCGACTCCTTTGGGGAACACACTCCCCAGGAGTTCGTGACCACAGACCTTCTTCTTATCCCTTGGGCCTTCCATCCTGTGCCCTGGGCAGGTTCTGTGCTGTGCCCACTGCTGGCTGTGGGAGCTGGCTGCCAGGCAGCTGCATGGAGGTCCTCAGAACCAGACCCAAGACAGCAGACGAGTTAGGACCGTGGGGGCAAGCTTAGACCAGCTGGAGACCAGACACAGAGATCTAACAGACACATTGTTGTTTTCCTTTCCCCGAAAGGTCTGCTCTTGCAACGTGGGTCTCCCTCCACAGTTGGTCATGGAAGATGTCCTGTGTGACCAGGCAACGGGGTGTGTTTCCTGCACAGCCGGACGCGGCCAGATCCACAAGGCACGGCCGTGTATGTGCTCTCCCTTCTTCACCTCTTCCCTTCACTCTTGTTGGGATGCACTTGCCAGTAAAGTTGTAGCAAGTAAGCTAAGACTCTCCCCAACACACAGAACTCCTATCCTGCTATCAAAGTGACAACGTAACCACTCCACACCCACTGAGACGACTAGAATGAAAAGTCAGACAGTAACAAGTGGTGGCGAGGACCCTCATGCATCTGCTGCTGGTGGCTGCTGTGGAAACAGCCAGCCATTCCACAGAAGGTTAAAGATTGAGTGACTATACGGCCAGCAATTCCACTCCCAGCAGCCCAACCCAGAGACGTCTGTCCACACTGAAACGTTCCCACAAGCATCCATTGAAGCATTATTCATCATAGCCAAAAACAGAAAACGCTACAGTGATCCATCAACTGGAGAATGGGTAAACAGAACACAGTATTTCCATATAATGGGATATTATTCATCCATAAAAAGGAATGCAGCACTGACACACGCTAAGTGGATGAACCTGGAAACACAGTGAAAGAAGCCAGACGCAAAAGACCACATGTTATATAATCCCATTCATATAAAATTCCAGAGTGGGGAAAACCTAGAGAGACAAAAAGTAGCTTAGTGGTTGCCTAGGGCTGGGGAGGGGAGGCTGGGAGAGTGGGGGGCG